TAGATAGCATGATTGTAATTAAAGCAAATATGTGTAAGAATTTGTTCTTGTGAAAAATCATGGTCCAGAACTATTATCATCATTAATTCATCACAATTATTCACTTTGATTTCCATATGCCTTCTTTGATTTATGCGTTTAATAACCTCTGCGAATACATAAATGATTAAAATTCATCCTCTCACTATAAATATTTCGATAATGGAAATGATCTATGTAACGACGGGTTGAATAAAAGAGCTGGTGATAGGTATAGACTTGATAATTAAAATGAAATCAAATTTCCAAGAGTTGTTATTCAGGTTTATTGAAACAGTTAATAAATCCGTCAATAACGTAGAAAATATTAACGTTTATTAGATAGGGATTTTTTTTGCAGTTTCCTTTTTCTAGTTATCAGATATTGCAATTTCTATGTGAAGAGCGGCCAAATCGGAAATCTCCTAAGACTTCAGGTCACAAAATAGTATGATTTTGTAAAGGAGTATTACTAGATGTAAGTTGGTCATAAATACTACTTTCTATGAAATTAAATTAAATATCTATGGTACACCCGAATGAATATTTTCCAGTGTGTTGATACAAGTATAACGAAACTGATTTTTCAGTACAGAGGATTTTATCTTATTCACTTGATAATGAAAATTATCTCATATTACCCGATTTATTATTTGATTAATCTTACGAATTTTACGCGTTCAGTAAATGATACTGGAAGAAAATATTGTCTTTAGTAGTAGTAGTAGTACGACTATTGATCTTCATGTTAATTGTAAGTGATCTAGTGACGGACGAAAATAGATATCGGCCAACTGTTAATTCCACTACAGTCATCCACTGTCATGCCCAGATTTGGAAGATGAAAATTGACAAGAAGTATTATCATGTGTGTAACTAAGTAGTATAATTTTCCCTTAAACTCATTATTCCTGTATCCAAAACAGTTGTCAGGTTGAAATAATGATAGTCATATCGTCAAATTTCTTCATCATTTTGTTTTCTATCTCAACCTTAATAATGAGATGTTTTATTAGTTTTTAACACAACTATAAAATATTAATTTACTCTTTTACAAATTCTAACATCGAAAATCAGTTTCATGTGTACGGACTTAAACGATTTTCCTGATTTCATAAAGTTCATTTTTCAGATTTTTATTAAATCTGTGAAGGAAAATAAAGTAAAAGAATATTCTGATAAAGTCTTCCGGATTCAATTGTACATATATTGCTATTGATTCACACATTTACGAAACAAGATATTCTGTATGATACCTTTTAGACTATAGCCTAACAAAGTATACTTTTCAACACTAAAGACAAGATAAAATTCGATTTTATTGAGATTACTTTTTCAACTACTTACAAGTAGGTGTGCTTAAAATGTGATATTATTTATCTATACCCTTGTTATTAGTATAGGTTTTGTGGAGATTTTTGAGTCTCTTAGTTCTCATCATAGATTAGCCTTAGTCGGACAATCGACCAGATTCAGTAAGAAGTGGATAGATATTTAGTCCTGAAATTTAACAGTGAGCATCCACAACCTCACCAGGGATTGAACTCAGGATCTTCCGTCTTGCTGCACACACTTAACTTTTAGACTTTCCAGTAGGTATTCAACGGCTTATATGTCTAATAATAAAGAGAAATATCCCTTCAATCCCTCTTGATTTCCAGTTTCAGTTTAAATAAAGTCAGTCCGTGATGTAAACTAAGAAATTACCTCATGATATCAATTTTGACATCACGAATTTTAGCACTTAACCAACATAACTAATTAGTAGAGTCATATCAATTATCACAGATAATTAGTTTTTCATCAAAATTCATTGTGCCGATAATCTAAGTTTACAACTAAACGATTTCATAAAATCAATGAAATCACTTCCTCATCTTAATCGGATTCAAGGTGAAATAACAGCCTGTGAAATGTACATGAAAATTTTTTTCAGACAATGAATGCCTGTGTTTTTGTAAAAACAGAGCTAATGTACAAACTGTTAATATGACATCATAATATGCAATTTGAAGCGTCTATAAAACGTGATCGTGTGAATATAGGTTTTGACCATACATATATAGTGTAATTTGATAACAATTAAGTTTCATTATCTAATTAACTGTTACATACTTATTATTTGAAACTTGTTTTAAATGTTCTAAAATGTTAATGTAGAGAAATATGCCTGATGTATATTATGAAAGCTATTTTATAGGCACATTTAAGTTTTATATATGATAAATATTAATTTTAGATATACTGATTCCAAACAATATACAGATTGTGTATCTTCAGAAAGGTACAGAATTCCTAATTCAAACATCAAAATATTGAAAAAAATGAAAATTCCACAGATGTGATAAAATAACTAAGTAGGCTAACCAACAATATATTGAAATGAGATAATGCATTTTAAGCATGTTTAGGCCTTATCACTTCAGTCTAGGCTGTTTTACCTACTAACCTGTTTTATTTAATGGATATGAGATAAATTATATAGACATATAGAGTTAAACGATTCAAAAGAGTATTTAATACTTGTGTGGTTGGCTTAAAGGATTGAGCTTTTCTGTCCAGCCTGTAAAAAAACGAAGTCTAGTTCTCCTGAAAACTAACATAAAATTACTCTTATTACAGGATATATTTATACTTGTGAATAAAGTAATCGATCCTATCAATGGTCATATGCTTGCTTCAGACAATAAACCACATGTGTAGAAGTACACACATTGAAATAGTGAAAGAAGATCAACTTGTAACTTTTATTCTTTTTTTCCTAATTTCAAAACATTTACTGTAGTATTTTTGACTTATGGAATAAAATTTAAAAAATTATTTGTGTTTAACAAAATTAAACAGGTGAATTCATTAGAAAAATAAATCCATGACATAAATAAAACTACATTATCACTATGGATTTAAATAGTAATTGCGAGGATAACAATAAAATCATAATAATATTATGTTCATGTCAACATGATTAGGGTTTGTAGTGAAAGTAAACTACAGAGCTAAACCGATAAGATCTGACAGATCAAATCTTAGATTGTTCATTGATATTCAAAGGTCATTAACGGATTACTTGGAAATTATCAATGAGCTGTGTAAGAAATTGGTAGAAATCACTAATATGTAGCTACTTTGATAATAAGAAAAATAAGGATCATGACAAAAACAAGTAACAGAAAAAACTTGACCAACTGTTAAAATGACGAAATATTCATTAGTATTCCAGAGCAAAAAAATAGATTTAAAGTTCAGACGGTATATCAATAGGGGTTTATGGATTTTTCGGAGTAACTTGAAAGTCTTCGAAATTTAAATGCAGACAACTACTTGCATAAGTACTGATTAATATAAATCCAAAGAATTCTGTTGCTCTAGTTCTAACGTCAAGACTTGATTCTTTTTTATATGGAATAATTTTCATATCGGACAGAATTTGTGGGAGGTTGAGTTGTCAGAACTATCCTACAAGAAATTAATGCCTGTTTTATTATATAATTAATACATTCTTAGATCGTATATTAATACTTTCCTGTTTCTAGACTGTTTAAACGATATTTAACAATTCGATTGCACAGGCTTTAATTAAACGCAAGCACTCGTTTATTTTACGTTTATATCAATAATTCAACGTGTAAAGAATCATTAATCACGTTCGTACTGTTTATTCGTTCTAATTTTATTACAAATTGTTCTATAACTAAACTCTGGTTTTTGATCAGCTGATAAGTCGCTCAAGGTCGCATGTATAGTTTACTTTTACCTATTTATTTAGTAACACAGTATTTGTCAGGTAACAAAAAATCAGAAAAATACTTCAGCATATTCTGAATATCGTATAGCAAATAAGTAATGACTATAGTAAAACGAACATCAATCTTCAAGATTTTTCAGTATGATAAGGAATGTAATATTAGTTCCTTTGCTATGTTATTTATACTGCTAAACCACTATCAAGGGGATAACATAAATGAGAAAGATTTGGCTCTTATTCTTTGTTATACTAGCACGAAATTGTTTTCTTAGTCACACAAGAACAATCAACGAAATAAATCAAAAGAAATTAGCCAAAATATTTTAAAACTCAATTGCTTTATGAAATTTTTCTACTATTACACAATTATTTTAGTCACTGAATCATTAAAATAACTAACGTAACTCAACTCAACTTGGCTTTCATTATTATACTTCACATTAAACATCATTTGGGATTGACTGTTAATTTGGTTAACTATTTTATCGCCAAAACAGAAATTGGCCTACGTGGAATTAGTTACCAGTGATCAGTAGTCATTTGTTGATAATGTATTTTGATCCAGTTAAAACATAAAATGGAATCTTAACATAATTGTTTACTATGACTTAGCGTATATATTCATTGAATTCTGAAATTATGAGGAAGAATACTTTTTTATCACTTTGTATGTTCATCTTTGTAGTATAATAGTGAATTATAATTCGATATATCATGTAAAATGTTAAGCCTAAATGTGATTTGGTAGCACAATTTCGTGTTTAATCATAATTATGACTATGAAATAAAAAACCATGCAGTGATGACACTGTATTTAACTTACCCTAGTTTCAATGCATACCGATTTAAATCTCACTATATTTATTTCATTTCGAACAATAATTTAATATTACCACGTTACCTGACAAATGCATGGTTCAAATCCGGCCACAGAAATTTGCAGTTAGTTACAGATTTACATAATAATTAAATAATAAACTAAGGACTGTTAAAGTGATTGTCTAACTAATTGTTATTTAAATCTTCCAGTGTCTCACATTTCTTTCTTCACAGATATACTCAAAAATCAATTTTCGAATCTCGCAGAGGGCGAGGTCGTGGATGCGCACTGCTGAGGAGTCCCACGATAGGACGAAACAGCCGTCCAGTGCTTCCAGGTTTTCCATGGTTCAACTGACTCATGATCTTAACCATTGAAATTGCTATAATATCCACAAAACACCTTCTGAGAATAAATATGTAACGAGAAAGTATATTTTGAAAAAAAAAGAAAGAGAATCATTTGTTTTCATCAGTATTTTATAGATTTACCTATAATTGATACAGGGTAGTAATCATTTGTTGTTTGGACATTCAATATAAAAAAACAAATTGTTCATAGGGTATTTTCTTTTATATATGAGCAAATCAAATAATGAATAGAAAAATTTCATAGAAATGTATAAGAAAATTAATAAATAGTAATTAAAATAATCAAACAATATGTAAAATAAACTCGATTCTTTCTATGAACTAATAAGATGCTTCTATATTATGGTTTTCTTTTTTAGATGTTATCTGGAAATGAAAATAAATAAATATTAACGATTATTATATATCGAAAGAACATTCGAGAAAATAACTTTGTCTTCAAACACTATAGTTACAAATTCATAATCATAATGATAAAATGAACAATATAAGATATATGTATATAATCTATGATTGTGTTAGTTAGCTTTATATATTAGAAATACGGAATATTAAGTCAATTGAGTTTTGAACACATAAAATAAACCATTAATGAAGTTGAAAGATTAGATAAAAATTGAGAAACAATATGTGATCCAAATTGGTGTGTTGTGGTTAAATCACGTGAGTCCGATTTACTAAAGAGTAAATCAGAACACATACAAACAAAGAATATTATGTTTAATTAGATCTACTCTATATTAGAGTAAGGCCTAAGTGAGCAAAATAAAATATCACAGTAACTGTGACAATTGTAATGACAAAACAATATGGATTACGAAAAAATAAATGTAGTCAGCATTCCTATTCTCTCTCTCTCTCTCCATATATATATAATCTTGATAAGATATATTAGTTCAGTTTATGAAATACACTAATTAATAGAGAAGAACTGTAATGAAGTCGAATTGTTTATTTTTAGAAGAAATATCATTCTTATTTATTTCAATACTGGGTTTAAGCAAACAAATAAACTTATGTTTCAGATTTGGTAAAAACCAAATAGGTTGATTCGAATAATCCATAAGTTGTGTTGATTAAGAAATTTGAATTTTCTTAATTCAGTCTACATATAAGTCAAAATCTAATTGAAGAATAAGAATTTAGATTTAATATTCGTTTTATGATGATATGAATTCTGTTTAAAGTGTAATATTTATCACTCTTATAAGAAACTGATAGAATGACCATGTATGGATGCATTCTTCCAAGTGAAAACAAGTGGTTATTGGCAGATACTCAAAAAAAGAAATCGTACTTACTTTTTTCTTTTTCTCTCCTTACTGTGCCAGTATCCATAACCGAAGTAGATTGTGAAACCTAGTTGTGAAAGTAAAGAAGAATATACGTCTGTAATTAACTCTAGAAAAATGGTGAAATATTTGTGCTAAAAGATGTGAATGTACGTCATATGTTATATTTTTGTGATAAATCTTTTTATTTCGAAAACGTTTTGTATAATTTGATAGCTTAAATTAGTGAGTTTATGTTATTTGATGATTTAAGCGTTTTAACAGTAAAACGTCATGGTAAAAAATATGGATGAATCATCTGCAGAATGTGCTATGAAATCACGAAAAGTGCCCTTTTTTAAATTTTTGTAATCCTGTATTTCTAATACACCTGATTTATTCAGTTTTCGGTTCTGTAGGACATTATGCATTCAGTAGTTAACATTATGATCAAAGGGGTTATGTGATCTAAATAGTTTTCTGCAAAAAATTTGATAAGACATCTCAAATATAAAAAAACATTATTATATTGCATCCGTAAACTCATGTGTGTCACTAACGCTAAAATTTGATTTCGATGAAACATTCATTTAGGTTTGATAACAATTAGCTGTATTTCAGTACTAGAAAATGTGAAACCTGGTAGGAGGTATGTAATTTCATTTTATATCGATATAAACAGATGCAGAGAATTGACAAGATAGAAAGCAAAGAAAGATAAATAACATTATTAACCGTAGTGGAAGACTAAATACAAGAAAGATAATGCAAAGGTAAGTAAATTATATTAAACGCAAAGTAAGGAATGATGGTAAAAACAAAATTTAGACGATAAGCAGTGAATGTATCTGTGGCACTGAAAATGAATTTAAATCAACCATCATGAATTACGATGATATGGTATGAGAGAAAATTAGCATCTCTCAAACACAGATCAAGTTAACTATTTGATTTGTACAGTAATAATCAAGTGTAAAACCTCCTTGGTTTAAATTAGTTCCAGATAATCATTAGACCATTATAAGAACAGACATAATAAAATATATTTTGACCAATCTGATCCTATCGTGGTTATCGTGAAATGATTTTGGTCCTTTCCTATAAACTACAATAATCACTTATTGCAAACAATCCTACAGCCAGCTCCTGAACTTAGGTTGATATCTTAGTGCTGAACTATAATTATTATAGATCTCTGGGTCTGTTAATTATGTAATTAGTTAGCATCTTCCCTTTTAAATCGACTAAGAGTTGGAAACGGGATACCAATCTTTCATTCGTATCTACAATCTTGAAGAAACTGATACTTATTGTGGGATTTGAACCCGACTCACTTTACGTCAAGATTTTCAAAACGCTTAAACAAAAATAATATACTGATTACTTCCGACTAACTGAATATAAGACTAGTGGTTACTAATTTCTACTAGAAGCAATAAATGACATGATTCCCACTTATTTCAATGGCCAAATGTTAATTCTTACTGCCAAATTGACTGATTTCACACTTTCCAGAACTTATTTAAAATATTGAGTTGTTTCATACAAAAAAGATTATTTGTGTGAATGTTCTTATAAGAATCGATAGTTTCTCAAAGTTTACCAAGACAATTATCAATTGAAGCTAGACATTAACACCGTTGAATTTCGGCTCAGTGTTCCAGAGGTTAAGCGTTCGTTCGCTAGACTGAAGGTCTTGGGTTCAAGTCCCGCATACGAGATCGTGGATGTGCACTGCAGAAGGGTCCCGTTCTAGAACGAGACGGCCATTCAATGCTTCGAGGTTTTCAACAGTGGTTTTGCTTAGATCGACTCATGAACTCAACGATTAAAAGTCATAATTTTGTTTGTACGAAGGGAACGTATTCTGATATTCAAAATAAAAGTTTATCTCAAAATCATGTGTATTCACTGAATCTATAAGCATAATGTATGTAAACAATGAAGTAAATAAAGTATGCTTACTCCTCTCAAGTCTAAAGATTTTTCCCTCCCTCAGTAATCTCTTCATACTCGTGTGAATGAAAATATCAATAAGTTAGTAACCAGATGTTTGCTATCTTAAGTATATGATAATAGAAAAACATTATAAATATATAACTTTACAATTTATTAGTAGGTTCAAGTGCTCAAAGACAGGTAGATTTATTAATCATTTATCAAATGATATGAGATGTATATACCATTATATCCATTTCGTTTGTGAATACACTTTGTTTAGCCAAAACAAGCATTCTTCAGAGAACAGTGAAAAACAAGGTAGCTATAAGTAGTCGACATTTTTGCCTCAGCTTAAAGGTTTTCTTTAGTAAACATACTTCGTTTACACTCATTTCTAATGAAACATTTCCATATTATGCAACAAATGGAATAATAATAACGACAAATGAGCTACCTCGTCCGAATGTATTATTTGGTTGATTTTGCGCTCAAATAGCTACTGATATTGGTGCATAGTTGTTATCAATTAATTTCCTATTCCATTTTTCTAGATTTTAACTAAAAACTAACCAAATCTATAAAGATTGGTTTATCAGGCCAACTAAAGTGGCAAGGAAAGCAAGAAACTGGTTTAGCAACAACTCGAAACATAGGAATCTTCGAATAATTTGGTAGTTGGAAGTTAAGTCAACACAAGTAGTAATTAAAGGCAGAAATTCATTAATTAGGGATTTGATTATAACCACATTTTCTATATAAAAATGCGTAAATCAGTTTCTTATTTTCTGAACAACGTACATGTAACAGTTCTTGATGTTACACCAACTGATGGTTATCTCACTTTTTACTGAAGTATTTGCTTTAGGTAGGATTACCAAAAAATTAACCAGATCTTTGATAGATTCTGAATAATTTAATGAAAAAGTCCAGTCATCAATGAGATGTATAACCAATCAGTCTTTCAAATATTACATATTCGTCTCCTATGAAGAAGTGTTCTTTAGTTAGTAAAATCTGAATAAACACATCTATTGTCATTACTCTTATGAATTATTTAAGGAGATATTTACATTAGAAAGAAAATTAGTTGAAATGTAGTCCTGAAAAATAGTACTTACATGTCTCATCACGTATTACTGTCAAGTCTATCTGTATTTTGAGATGTTTGGTCACATATATTTGCTATTTAAGGTTTTGTGAAAGTTATTTGTGGCTTACAGTATGCAAAGAAAAATAAGCATGATTCCCAATGACAAATATAGACATAAATGTGGTAAAATAAGAATTCTGATATTTTTTAAGTTTTTAACTATATTAAAAGGAAACATTTATTTGTTATTTATTTGTTTTTGGTTCGTCGGTGAAAATAAACATCTTATCACTTGAATAAAAGGGTTAAATATTGTGATATATCATGAACTTTTTCATATGGACATGATCGTAAGCTATTAGATCAAATAATTTCCTTATTTAAACAAATCGACAAATATTCTTACCAATAATCATCCAGACTAAGAATCTAATCCATGTAGCCCCTGACAATTTAACCATTAAATATACATTGATAAATATACTAATAGCTGGAATCCATGGAACTCCAGGGACCTGTAAAAAAAGAATTTTGTTGGAAGTAATAGCCTCAACAAACCATTATTATTGGAGAGCGTTTTTGTTTTATGGGTGTTCCTAACTTTTTACAGCACTTGTCTCAAGAACTCTTATTAGACTCACACATTGTTCTTACTCAGATTCATCACAAATATGTTGCAACAAGTTATTTCTGCAGTAAGATTTTACTAATCAAACAGCGACGTCAATGATTAACGGTGTTATCATCAGTACTAAATAAATATAATATGAAGATCAGGCAAATCACCTTAGAGTGTCTCATAGTCTGTGAATATCCCCATATAATATGGAGCATTGCGTTTACATATACTTGTATGGATGAGGTATAAAGGCTATAACGTTAGAAGTATAGTAAGAATGAACATCTAATTGTCAAAACTAGTTTTTCGATTGAGATGAAAGAAAATATTTGCATAATACCTGCAGATATTAGTAACGAAATATCTAAATAAAAATAATTTAAATACATTGCCCAGTTGTTCCTTAAATTTTGAAAGTAGGTACAAGAAGCAACAAGTTTTCTAACTAGCTGTTCTCAACAAACATATTCTAAAGCACTTGTACTAAATAAAACTTAACAATAAAGAAAACTTTATACATGAGAATATAATACGTACTTTGAATGACACAGGTGTTTTATTTTCTGGTTGTCTGGCTAATGCTGAACAAATGATAATACTGATCAGGATCATTAATCCAACAAACGTCCATATTGGGATTGTGACTATCATATTTTTTGTCACTTCTTCAGGTAGTTTATCTAACAGTAATATACCCAGATTGCCGAGAAAAATGAAGCAAACTAGAAAGTATGCATTGAATAAGTCAAAACAAAACAAAATAATAGATTTACATTAGAAAGTGATGTGGTTCATGATTGTTTTTAAAGATTAGGTAAATTTTTGTTAATGATGGTGGTGTAGCCAAAATTGTACACTATGCCAAATCAGCTAGTAAGTTTGATTTCCAAATAGATTGTACAATTATTTCAGAAAATGACTTAGGATTCCCTAGCATTGAATTATCATTGACCTTATGGAGTAGCACTTTTAAGAACCACTACATATTTTAGAAGCTATAAAAACTAATTAATTATACTCTAAATTTTAAATATCTTATATTTTAGGTGTACTGTTTGTAAAAAGTATATTTTCACACTAATTTAGAAAGAAGTAAGAACTGACGTCAAATAAAATATTAGCTAGGCTCTTTAAAAACACAGAGTAAAAAAAGTATGAATGGACGAAGTTATTCTTCAATTCATTATCTCTTTGAGTTAACTAAATTTACATTAAGAATAATTCTGAAATTAGATTCCGGAGGATTCATGTAGTCAGAGTTCAAGAACTGAGTTGCTAGTTTATACACAATTTATTTTCATGAGACCGATAATGCATTGTTCAGACATATGTTCGAAAGTAGCGCGCAATGTACGGTCATTATAACTTACTCCCAACAGCAAGCAAACTGTAAGATACACAATTATAAAAATGAATGTAAAACTTAAATTAATGATTTCATCGCAAATAAAAATTTTTTCTCTGAATCCTCTTCGAGTTTATTCAGAAGTATCAGTTCATCTTTAACGCATCTAGGTTCCGTATCGAGATAACTCAATGTCCCACAAAAATACCACTTCTCACGAACCTTCTTCAGTATCACTGCTTTAAACTCATTATTCATGAGCAAATTTTTATTTGGCACCTAAAGGAACCTCTCGGTTTACTTAATTGGTTTTACGTTTCTCTCATTTAACCAAAGATGACAGATATTTATGATTGATATCCTCTGGAGCTTACTCAAAACTGATGATAATGTCTGCAATATGTACTCAACTGATGGTTGAGAAATGTTTGGTTCGTTTGTGGAACTTTTTATCAAAATGTAATTTAAATTACAAAGGGGTAACACAAGACTAATTTCCTGGGATAAATTTCAGGAACACAGATGTCACATAAGAAGTTAACTTTCAATGTAAGGGAAACTCCTTTAAAAGTTGATACAACGTTGAATGATATTATTTAAATTTCGAATACAGTGATGATGGTTGTTAGATTAACAAATCAAAAATACTGAAACTGTTGATTTAATTCATATGTATATACAATCGTCCTTGCGTGCAAACTGAACATTAAGTAAAACAAAACGTACGCTTTGAATTTCACTATTAATATTTACTAAATACACTTTTATTATATATGGCTAATTGAGTAAAACGCTGCATAGCATATTAGCTAAGGTGAAAAACCAAACATTTACACATAATTTCAGTTATAATAAGAGCCTTTAGATATACGTCGTTAAAATAAGCGGTGTAAACTTTCTAGTATTGTTAGTAACTTGTAAAGATTATAATATTGTATTTTATAAGATCTAAACCAACTGTTCGAACCCAATATTTGTTTCTTTTAATTGATAAAAACCATGATATGAAATGAGCATCCCTTTATCTTTCTTTTAGTTAAAGAAATTATCACTCACGTAGTAAGTAACTATTTATTTTATAAATTAATTCAGTAGTTTGAGACGGTTTATCCTGACCAAGTTCACGCTTGAAACATCTTCGAAAATAAGTTGAAATGTCGAGATGAATATTATCAGGAAGTGGTGAATTGTTTGTTTGTTTCAAAGCCGTTGATAAACTAGAAAGACATGAGAGAAAAAGTGTTTATAGACTGAAAAAATAACCACTTCATAAAGTAATAACAATCACAAAACCTTAAACAAAATATACCTTGACCACGAATTCTAGGATGAGTGGTTATGAATTAAGAAGTAAATACAAGTCAAGTGAAGAGATTTCAGTCAGTTTCTCTACATGGCTCTACCCTAATATTCAGTCTTCACAATTTAATTTACAATCATTTCCAATCTTTAAGCGCGTTATATACTTATTCCTAGCCCATAAAATGATTAGCACCGAACTTTTACTTCAGCCAGCACGGAGTGATGAGGTATTTTTTTTGTTTGTTATATGCAACATATTTCTATGGATTCTTATTGAACACTATTTAGTAAATATTAAATTTCAACTTCATAGATTGGTAAACGATCCATAAAACCTGTATGACATGATCACTTATGGCTTTTATTCATTTTTACTTTCCCGTTTAACATCACTATAAAAATTTTTTGTTGGTCAGTTTTTCGGTCATTTGTCCTTTGATACGGCTTAATTTGTGGATAAAAGATGCATAAATTGATTCATGTAAGCAATCATCAGTTCATCATAATCTTATCAATTGATCAAACACCCACATATCTATACAAAACTGCTTCCTTATAGCAACTAGTGAGGTAACATTTTCTAAGTATATAATTACAGTTTACTTAGTAACAGAAATGGAAAACATTATTGAGTGAACTCAGAAAACTTAAAAAAACCACTACAATAATGATAAATTCCTAAATGAAGTTTAACAAACACTGTATTATTATTTCTTTCCATTACGAACAATTACCCTAAAAAAACTACAGTTTATTAAGTGTTCGAAAAGAGACATTGTTTCATTTTCCAAGATTTAAACAAATATATCTCATTAAGTTCATATTTGGTAAGGGATAGAATCAACACGTAGTTCGTAAATAATCATTTAGTGCATAAAACGTTCGTTTTTGCGTAGTCGATCGTTAGTACATGGCTGTAAGCTTCACGACTAGTAAGTTGATGTCTTTCAAAGATTATCAGATTGTTAACAAAATGCGGAGTCTCGCTGGTCAATTACCTAATATTAAATATTTCAGAGAGAGGAAAACTAATTTTTACTTTTAGTTACTGTGATACGCAACATACTGTTTTAAACATTGTGAACTATCATAAACTAAATGTGATTGAAACTACTAAAAAAGAATTAAAATTCAGGGGTTAAAATGTTCTGCATGTTAACCGATTAATCATTCTACCATCAGTAGTGAAGAATTCAATAAATGCATCTGATCATAGCTTATGATTAACGAGTATAATGATTGTGCATATAGGATTGTAATAAAAGTCAAATTAATCTTAAAACTAAAGATTTGATTGAGAATTAAATATGAAATTTGAAAATAATCACTTACCTTGAACTATCAACGTTATTTGAGGAAATAGAGGGTTTATTATGATCGGAATATTCATCAGGACCATTCGATGGTTCTTTATCATTACTAAGTGTATTGTCTGCTACTTCATTCAAAAACTTGAGTGGATATGATTTTTCACTAGTAATAAATTAAAATATATATAAAGATGAAAAAGCTTTGTTTTATAATTTTAGTAAGATGTTCCGAAAACACGTACAAGTAAACTTAAGCACTAATGTTAACTTTTGATTTAATGGTATATGGTGACTGTGATATTGAAAGGAAATAAATAACTCAAATCCAAAATTTACATCTTTACATAATTGATTTTAATTTTAAGGAACAAACTATAATATCTGTGATTCTAAACACACCTGCCTCTTTTATGTTTAACGAGTATATACTAGCAAATAAATGTTTTATGCACATTAAAATTCGTCCAGGATGTTTGTAAAAATTAATGTACTTTGTAAGAGTAAATGGGATGCGTTTCATGAGTTTTTTAAATGATGATGATAATAGGTAAGAAATTCATAAGTGAATATGTACATATAAATGATTGAAAGAATACGAATAAAAACGTAAATATCCACGGGTTCTGCAAGGGATTTCTAAAAAGAGACTTTTTTGATATAATGAGGAAAATCTGTGAAATATTAATACAGAATTAGTTTATCGAAACTAAAGTCAAAATGATTAGAGAAAACGTTTCATAGATGAAATCTATAGTACACATATAATTTACTTAAAACTATGTTCATTACGCGTCAGACAATCGACGTGTTTGAATAAAGCTGAGTTAAAATTTATCAGTGAGGAAACCTGTATAAAATAAACTCAATTTTAATCATGTAATATTTTTTCCAGTTTGATTGGCTCCATGAGCATACTCACACAAGATAAAAATTAAAAAAAAAATATTTCTCATGATGTTTAGTAGATTAATCAATCACTACTAAATAAATTAAATATAACAGCAATATAAACAATTAGTTTTTATGATAAGCAAGATTCAAGCCGTACAATCAGGTCTTAATTTGTTAAAGATTGAGCGACCTTCAAAGTTGATTTTCTATAATCGTTTATGACATCTAATCGTATTTCTTTCTTCGTCATTATTCTGTAAACAGGCGTGTTATTTTGTTCATTAAATAACATACTCTTCAGTTTGGTAATCTTGCTACTCATTAGTTCATTTGGGTGTTTAAATCGTTAATCCGATCTTGTGAGCAACCAGCTTCCAGCCACATGGAAACCTACGCCGTCAAATCGATATTTAAAGTATCCGATAAAAATTAATACAAAGTTTACAGACGTTTGTAGGATTTACTGAAGATTTGAGGAAATCATTCATATAAGACAGAATATGATTAAACCTATAGTACATGTTTGACTTCCCACTAAATATTTTTAAAACTGTACATATTAGTACATAGGTGATCTTATATTTTATTTACTTATATTATCGTCTTTAATCAGTTTCCAGTTTACTAATTAGTGTACAAATGTCTTAATTAAAATTAATTAACAGTTTCTGGCCATCACATGACACCTACATTTTTGCCTATTTATAAAATGTATTGTGATAGTTAAACATTAAATATTCGGTGGGATTTTAAATAATTCTTAACATTCTAGAAGCTTACTCGGATAAGGGTAATTTATCAGCTGGCCAACTTTCATCGTCCATCAATATTTCTGTATAATCTTTCGTGTCCCCGATGCAATATTCAATGGACATTTGTTGTCCTCTAAAATGTGAATTTTGTAAAAAAGGAAAACAGAATAGTTATAAGTAAATTTAAACAGTCATTAGTTTACTTTATGTTTATTAAACATTTATGTTAAGAATGGATTTTTTTACAATTTTCGCTAAATGGAGAATTACTCCAAACGAAAGTGTACTGGATCATTGATTTTTTCCTTTTTCAGACTCCTAAATTATGTATCTAATGGGACCCATGGTCCTTAGACATCATGATCAATAAGGAATATGTAAACCACTAAACTAGACTATACTAGTTGGTATTTGTAACTTAAGTAATGTGTTCTCTAAAGTAAAACCCCAATCCTCTGATAACATTATTATCTAAGTAAATAAAAATTTCAGAGTTAGATACGAACCATATGAGTGTAAGACCTGAAAGTATGGAATATTTCTAAAATCAGATTGCATTGTATATACTTCAAAGTTTACTCTACAGATACCTGAATATGATGGGACAGATATGAAAATTTTATTTCAAAAACAGTATCATTCGTTTTTGTTATTACTCATTTGTCTATTGTAGATAACAGTAATTTTAAGTTACAAACATTGTTTTATGTGTTACACAGCAGCAATGCTAGCAGTAAATATACGATATTAAATAACTAATTAAAGTAAACAGTAAGACGTCACATGCTATCGCGTGATACACACGCCAGTTGATTAGCCTTCCGTGAGAAAACTCATTTGTTTAAAAAAGCATAGTATTATAAATAAGCTAAATCCTGTGTGTTCTGCATAAGTATGTTTGAGAAGTGATTTTATTTTATTTGATATAACGTGTCTCTTTCTCAACCTTAAAAAGTGAAATAATTGAAACCTTCAGATTTAACTCTCACTCGAATAATAATAAACATTTTTGAGATATAAAGTCCAACCTTGGCATTAAGACCCAGAATCTCACTTTGATAGCTGCGATAGATATTTTGGTAAAATGCCATTATCTTTGTCTTTACTACCATAATACTTTATGGGATCTGTAAAATGTTTAAAAATGGCTGCTGAAGATAATGGATTGTATTAGTCGAACATATGTTGTTTGCATTCCGAATATATTTTTCAGGCACTTTCCCTCTATTAATATTGATAATGCATAGAGACCTTGACTACGTCTTGGAAATTTTATTTTACAAGGTTCTTGAGACCACTGAATATCTTTCATAAGAATTTCAATAGAGTTTTATACTAACTAAAAATATTTTTTAATATATAAGTATAAAAATAAAGGTAATAATTCGGACGCTTATACAAATAAATGTTTTGAAAGACAAAGCATCAAATATTTCAAACCACCAAGTATACAACCAAAATTTAGTCAGTTTATACTGGAATTATTTCATATAAAGTATAAGTTACCTCAAAAGAAGCACAGAAACAGATACTAGAGTATAAGCAAGAAGTGTTCCGATCGACATCATATCGACTAGATCTTGTAAACTGAATACTGCCGTCATTATGCCTGAAATTATCACATATATAAGTGGGTAGATTAGCATGATTTGTTAATAAGCCATTTATTAATAAGTTATTAGTAAGAAAAGTTGAATAATAAGTAAAATTATAATTCTAAATGTCAAACATGTGATAAATCTGTATCAAAATAAGTCTTCAAATTATACGACTACTTATTGTTGTATAGAACTAAAGATGAGAAATTCAACTTATTGGTTATGGTTTAAGCAATACTTAAACTACAAAAAAATATGATCAGAGTTTACAACTGTCATTCATGAAAGAAAGTATATCTATAATATTACGTAACAAGATATTCAGTCATATAAATTGGTTTTGTAGGGTTCCACCGATTTCCAAGATATACCATTTAAGCCTATTGATTAAAGCTGTGATATATATGTGTATGCATAAACATGGATATTCAAAAATACTTACATCCAATAACACCTGATACGATAGTACCTAAAAGTGGAGTTTTAACTTTTGAATTTATTCGATTTAAAAAACCAAATAACAGCCCATCAGTTGCCATAGCATACAAAATGCGTGGCAATGGGAACATTGAACCTAAAAGGCTAAAAATATATATAATTTACTAAATTAATTGAAATGTAAATGAAATTAAAAAGAATTATGCTAGTGCATAAATGATTTACATAAGTTTGACTAATTTTTTCATGATACTAGCAAATTCATAACAGTTAGAATCCAAGGTACTAGATGTTAAAAAGCAGTGAATTCCACATTTGTTAATGATCATCAAATTAATACTTTTGAAACCTGATAGTCAATGTTATGTTTTTAGCTTATACAATTATCGCGAAATACGATTACCAATTTAGATACGCTAACTTATACGGTCAAACTAATGACGCATACACTAGTATGGGCAGCCTAGAGTTCGGATTATTCCCTTTGCCACCTGCCCCTACCTGTTAAGTCCACAACGCCAATCTCAGCCTCCGCGATACGAATCGTATATTTCATACATAATAGGTTTATATACAAGTAAAATCAAACCACATCACACCATAACATAGAAAATAACATTTGTACAAGAACAAGCCCAAAGTGGCTGTGATTGTGCGGAACTTTGACTAATAGATTGAGAATAGTAAGTCATATAACAGTAACCAATAAGTCAAATAAAAGCCTATAACGAAAGGAATATGAATATATATATATATATATATATATATATATATAATACAGTTACTTAATGGTCATACAATAGAAATATTCGTAAAATATTAGTCGATTGACTTTTTCTCGTCCGGATATAATAGTTAAAATTCATTAAGTATTTTGTTGTATCGGTTGATTTCAACCAACAAAAGCATACTAATTTACGAAGATGGTTAAAATGTTGAATGAATGTATTTTAATAACTGGTAAATAAATGACTTCATTTAAATAGGGTTATTGTAAATGTATAATTTTCCCTAATTGTTACATTGAGAAAAGTTATGAATTGGCTAGTTTATGTTGATTTGCTAGTCCAATTTATTATAATCTAGTAGGAATAGAAAAATACACAAATTAGTCTTGGGTTATTTGAGTAGATTATTGAATAAAGCGTTAATTCCAACAGAGAAAACATGCAGAGGATTTCAAGTTTTATTTACATAGGTAAATAAGTATTGTTTAGAGAAGAAAAATTCTTGCTTCGAAGTAATAATAAAGGATCATAAAAGAAAATATCATGATGCGATTTTTAAGAACTTTCATTCAACCTGTAACTAGTAAAAATCATTTGAACGATTTACTAAGTAATGTGAGAAAATGAGTGCTGATGATCCCAATTATCATACAACAGACAATGACAATGATCACATTATTCTATTCAAAATTATTATGGAACTGAACAGTATGACACTTATTAAATAGTTACGTTTATTTTTTCACTTTTTTTAAATTTATAAAACCCTAAATAATAGATTTGTAGAGCAATAAAATGATACATTCACGTACAAAAATAAATATGATTAAGTGCCATGAACATCATATTTGTAGGATATTTACTGTCCAATTCCTTAAGACTTTCCAGTTATAGAAGTAAAAGGAACATTGATTTCAAAATGGAGAGAAGAAAATACAAAATTCAGAACAAACTTATTTTACGGTAAATAAGTTTGAAAGACTATGTACGTTCGCAGTATAATTTCCAAGTTGTTAAAACTATGCTAACTTTAGGTCTACCGCTTTATGCGATGGAGACAAACCAGTTAATAAGATGATGAACTACCACTAATAAACTTTGGTAAAATATGCGTCACATTTGAGTTGTTAATAACTGTTTAATATATCATTTTTAATTAATTTAGTGATAAACATTTGTAGTTTGTAAGTAGAATATATCATACTAGTTTAATAACTTATTTAATTGAAGTGAAATTTTAATAGTGTAAGCTTTATTGTCGAACTAGTAGCTTTGACAGTTAAATGACCGAAAAAAAGATGTATTCACTTTTTATTTTGTTTTAAAAAATCAACGTCAAAATATCCTATTGTTTTCCACATTTCATTGTATATCTTTTTCTCATATCTCTTATTGTATTGACAGGGAGAAATGATAGTCTTATTCAACAACTTAATTAAATAGATGTTTCATCATCTATTCATTAACTAGAATATCGAATTGTTGATGGGGTCAGGTAGTAGGGAAATATATGGTATTCATTTTATTTCATTTAAGTATTATCTTATATACAAGTTAATGTGATTAGATAGGCTAGCAATAACCATCTACAGTTTGACTATCACGCAATAGAATACTGATTTAGGATAATTTTTCCTGCATCATTGAGAAAAAACATTCTAGGATATTGTAAAGATAAGCAGTTACCAGTATACGTCGTATAAGAAGCTTCTAAACGAAATTAATTGCTTTGTTCAACTGAAAACAACCAAATTACTTTGACGAGTAAATCAGTTTATACCATTTATTGTATTTTTAATAAATATTCATGGACAATATACGGTTGAAAGGATAAGTTTATTTGAAAAGAGTAACTAACAAAGCTAAATATGGTGTTTATCGACTAAAACAAAACACAATTCAACAATAATAATATAAAAATTATAAATAAGTTTCATAAGCATTGCACTTACCAAAATGTAAACATTATAATGATATTTAATTAAAGTGCATGTTTGATAATAAAGTCATAAAAATGCTGATATTTTCACAGCCACCAAACAACGTTTTCATATATTAATTATTCTGGTAAAGCTATTTTTAACTCAGTTTAGTTTTCAGTCTACAGGTTGATAGATGTTTAAGCTGTAACAACCAAACGAAAATAGCAATGATTGTAGTCAAACATTTTCAGTGGCCTATGAAATACTGGTTGGAAAAGCTATGTAACCAGAGACAACCTTAAGTGTATGCTATAAACGAAAGCTAAGTTGGGTGCCTAATTCATGTTCAGAACTTCTTAATCAGTAATCAAAAGCTTTTACCAATTACAAACAAGTATATCGATTAACTGAATGTAAAGATACGGAAAATGATGTGTGATTTATATTCCGTATTCTCGTGATAAAACAGTTTTGTTGTAAAATGTATCAGCATTTAAAAAATCTATGGATTTATTCAGTTATTTTAGATAGATTTTCAATCATGAGACGATATAGATTCAGTATCCTTTGTGAATCATAGGGATAATAAATAACTGCACTTTCTTAGTCTGGAACATTCTTGGGAACCCATGAATTCCGAAGGCAATGGTCGTTTAGTTATAACCTGATAATTCATCGATAAAATAAGGAATGACACCCCTGTTTTCTCTGACTTGAATTTGATATAAATAGGATGACAGAACTAAGATTAGATGGTCTGCTGTTAATTTACTTCAAATACTTTCTCAGCAAATATCAACCCATAGTTGCAATATATTGTGATCAAATCGATTCTTATTATTTCTGAAGTGTTATTACGTTAAAGCATTGTTAACAAACCTAGTAGTTAGAGCACACAAAGCCCCAGTGGAAATAATGTATTTTGCCCATTGTAAGCCATGGCGACTAAATGCAAGTGGTAGAGCAGCAACAGAAGAGATAGAATAATATGGTACCATTAACGTAAGTGTAGCAGATATAAGACCATATGCCAAGAAACATATTAGCAGGCATCCGATAATACTTATAGGAATCGCTGTTTGTGGATTACGCACTTCCTCACCTGAGAAATAATAAAATAGGGAATTGAAAAAAGCAAATAAAACTTTATGTACAGTGTGTGATTAAAAGAAGCTAGAATAAATAACTTGTTACTGTTTACCTAAATAAATTTAGAGCAGCATGCTCATAACTTAATATGTTACTATATTTCTTAAGCGACTTATTTCTGGAGTTCCATTTTTCGCCGTTGACAAAATATTGTTCAAGTATCAAAAATGATAACATTTGGATAATTGTATAGGAAACAATATGTGAGAACAAAAAGAGTTCAATATTAAAAAAACTAAGTCATATTGATACCTAAAAATCACCTCAATAAGATGGCAGTTTTTTTATCAACAGTCTAATCAGAAAGACTTAATCATTTAAAATGTCAGACGTTAGGTTCGAGTCTCAGTCGAATTATCGCCAATTAATGAAATATATATTAAGCTTACTGATCAAAAACAAATAAAACAAAACAATGAATCTTGAATTCACCAAGTAATCACCAGTAAATACTGCAAAACTGAACAGATAATACAATTTGATCACGTGATATAAAGTTATTCATTTTCAAAAAGTTAAAATTAGCAGATGATGAACTGGTAACTGTAGAGCTTGTTATCTTAATTAGTCTGGTAACATCAAAACTTTTTGTTCCTATTAGACTTATTTTTGTCAGTAATTATGTATATCGTGAAGGTGCTGATTTTTTTCAATTGTGGCTTAATGATTACCTAAATATGATCAAGTTTTTTTAAGATTTACTTTTTATCACTAGATTTTGATCTATTAAACTTACTAAAGCTTATAACTATCAAGTTCTTTTATTCTGACAACAACTAAAAGTGTTTGTAATTTTTATCCAAATATTTTAAGATCAATGTCACCTGTGAATTGAAATTTATCATGCACGATTATAGTAGTGAGATGAACATTCGAGCAAACAAAATTCATATTTTTTCTTTTGATCAATCTTCATATTTAGATATATGCTTGACAGTATTTCTCTTGTAGGTTCATAAAAGGTCTAATTTATACAATTAACGATACAGAATATTCTATATTCACTTTTCAAGGAATTAGAACTTCACGTAGTATGTAAAATAACACTACAAAGTGAACTTACAACTTGAGCGTTGTTAAGAAATTCATAAATTAACCCTTAAAATCTTTCATTTTATATAAATACTAGTCCAAGACATAAATAATAATTAAAATAACTACCTGTTGTAGCAATAATATCGAATCCGACAAATGCAAAAAAACATGTTCCAGCTCCGGAAAGTACGCCATTCAAACCAAAAGGAAAAAACCCGCCATTTCCTAAATCCGTATGTTTTACAGTATTATTGATAAGAACCTAACAATCCAAAAAGCGTTTGAATAATTTGAACAATAACTTCAGAAATATGACTGTCAATTTTTTAAATAAAAATACTGTATTATTCGTTTTAGCTTTTACATTTAATAAATGCTCATGAATCCAAACGCAGTTAGGATTTATAATTGGCCATCAATTAAGGACTCTAGAAAGTATATTAATGATGTGATAGACAAGTGAGTAACTTTAAGATTGATTGAATTTCGGACTACATTAATATCAATGTTTACTTTGAGAATGAAATTCTGGGCTAATAATACAGCCTGAATGTCAAACTAATTATCTCTCAACATTTAAACTAAATTTATATATCCCCTATGGTTATTGAACCTTAGTTTTGGACATTTACGACTTACTGCAAACATTTTTTCATCAATTTTCTTTTTCAAAGGAACTTTTTCAGTGTCGAATCGTAGATTTCATTTAAAATAAATGTAATGAATGTCACTTATAATTTTCTGGTCTCCAAACTGTCGTTTTTTCAATACTGTTAAAATTCAGAGTAACTGGAAGTCTCTAATGAGATATTAAGCCATGGTTTACTCTATTTAGTTTATTTAAGACAAATTGATCACAAATTAATTGTTAATATATTAATGAAATGGTTTACAGTATCATATCTTTTTTAAAATGATACATTGTTTACTAAAATAGTGTTTATTTCAGCTTTCTGCATCAGTATAAAAAGATTCTTTTACGTATAAAAACCATTGTTAATAGATAACAAAACGTGGTTAGTAACTAGTTGTTACTTAACTGGTATTCAAACACATCAAACATCTGTCTTTAATTAATAGTCTTACTAAGGATATTATTGTTAAACAATCTGAAGATTTCGAATAGATTCTCAGAATTAGCCAACTATCGGGACATTAAATGACCCCAGAGGTTTTCCCTTTCATCTTCAGCTTAGAGATACAATTCCGTCAGTTGTACAATAAAGCGAATATTCACACTGCTAACTGACATCTTTTGATTAACATGAAATAATGATATTAATGAAAGTGAAATATAACGAAAAGCAGTACTGAGTTACTTCCCGTTTTTCACGCAATAGTTATTTCAAATAGTTAAAAAAAACCTAGAATATGAATAGATTCAACGAAGGAAATATAATTTTCAGCAAATTCAAAGAAACACACTTACATTTCCTGGAATAACTTTCCAGTTATCAATATTTGCATAAATCAACCCAGTTACAACTACAAATATGATGACACACAAGTTGACTATTGTGAACACATTGTTAATCATTGCGGATTCTCGTACACCGATGCTTAAAAGAACTGAAATAGATATATTAAATGAAAAGTGGTGGATAGAAGACAGTTCTTTGTTGGGGGAAATAAAATAGCAGAAAAATCGGCGAGACTATAATCTGTGGACGAACCAATCAGATTTAGGATAACAAGTTTTGGATTTTGGAACGAAATTCGTCCATCCATTTGGCTGAATAGCATTTTGGCATTTTAACTGATGTCAGCTCGCGATGAAAATCCTAACTCTAAATCCTAATTCTAACCATCAACTATAAATCATAATCGTTATTATTCACACATGTTTATAGTAATCTTCAGTGCATCGACAACTTTACTTATTTTAGAAGTCTGATCAGCCCTAATGGGTTGGTGTCTGATGAAATCTCTGCGCGGATTCAAAAAGCTCGCTAGCTTTTGCCAACTCACGTCACCTCTGGTGAAAGCGAGATATACGTCTATCAATTAAGGGATGAGTGCACTGCTCGGCAGTTCGTTCTGTTCTACTTTACGGCTGCGGAACGTGGCCAATAAGAGTAGAAGATACTCGTAAGCTACTAGCATTTGAGCACAGATGTCTTAGAAATATCGCTCACATCTACTGAGATCATCGGGTAGGTAATAGGGAGGTTAGACGCAGGGTACGGGGAAATGATGGTTAATCAGTTGATGAGGTTGTAAATCTTCATCGACTGACATGATTGGGCCACATGTTACGTATGCCTGAACACCGATTACCACGACGCGCATGCTGACAAATGGTGGGGACGGTTGGAAGAAAGTAAGGGGCAGCCAAACCAAAACACGAGATCAGTCTTTGAAGTCACTAGCTTCTGGTTTGAGCCATGCTGATAGATACAGACTACTTGGTTGGCATATACAGTCTTTGTCATCCCTTAAACCGTAAGATTAAAATTGCTGTATATCTTTCTTTCTATGAATTAGTTCCTTCTTCCCGTACTGCATTCTTATATACAATCTGGTTCTATGAATTCGGTGTTCATCTTGTTGTGCTAATGAAGTGTAGCAACTCGGATCGATGCATATATGTGCCTGGTTCTACGTTGTAGCTGACTAACTAGCTGATACACATTTACAAACCTCATTTAGCCCTAGTAAGTAGGTGGACATTCTCAAGGTCACTTTGGCGTTGCTCAAAGCTCGTCCATAAATTATAATCTCACCGAAAAATCTTCTGAGATATTTTCTCAGTTACAAAAACATTATCTCAGAGTAGTAATCTAGATATCAGTTGAGAGCAGAAACCTAAAAGTTGTTCCAAAATTCGTAGAACAGTCCCCGGTTACCCAACAAGGTACTAGGCTCACTATTTGCGGCAAAACCCCCACAAACAGCTTCCTGTCAGATATGAATGACTGGTCAAGTAATTAACTATCAGTTGTGAGATCCTATGAGATCTTAAAAACGTAAAACTTGTAAAATATATGACTGGAAATAGGATTATTATTCCAGTACTTGGATTGCAGTCCTATATATCAGTGGTAGGATACAATCAATTAAACTTCACCCCATTGCATAAACCAGTAGCCGAATGGACTCAGTGGCCAAGTGGATAACGAGATAGTGTCTGGAGAGAATGGTGATGGGTTCGAGTCTTGGGTAGAACATCAACTCTGGGATGTAGGTAGGTCCAGCTAACGAGTCTCGAATAAAACAAAACGCTCTTCCTGGATTTTACTGCTAGCTACCATCTACCTCTGCTTATAATGCTTGCAACTTAATGACAATACGGAACCAATCTCCACAGGATGCACATGTCTCTAAAGAGACTGATTAATTGAAGTCTTCAACATTGATGGGAAGATTCAAACAACCAATATAAATGAATTAGGATTGTATGAACTTTGATTTTCAAAGACAACTGTTTTGAAAAATGATAACTTGATTCGTTTAGATTAATAAGAAAGAATTTCCATTTAATGGTAGTGTAGAACAGTTTCAACCGAAACGTTTAATTTATTAGGCGAAAGTCAGTGCGATAGTTAACCTTGCTTCGCTCAAACAACTTGTGAAGTCTACTGAATAGAAGACCAAAATTCACGGTTGACAGTAATCAGATGTCACATTTTAATATTATTTCTCATAAGTGTAACTGAGCAATCAAAATTATGACAATCGTAGAGCAAATGTTCTTACTTGTCATTAAAATAATTAAGCCAACAGCAAGTGGATCTACATATTCAGCTAAACCAGGAAGATTTAGTGCCAAATGCTTTTTAAAAAATTCTTCTATTTGGCCGTTGAGTATACCATCGAAATTAGAGCTCCAAGCTCGTGCAACACTTGCGATACCTAAGGTAAGAAAATTATTATTTCAAATGTAGATGAGTTTATATATGTTTAGTTTTCAATACACGTTTTTGGTGTAGTGACTGATTATCATAACAGCTTCATAATAACTAATTTTATTGCAGATAAAAAATTTTAAACTATCAGTTTTCCCTCAGATTTCTGACAACACTTCTGAATAACATGGGGTTACGGAAATAACTTTGCGTTTGTGGACGAAAGTTATGGTTAGTCTTTTAATCGTTTGACTCTCAATACCCTTATAATTTGCTTAATCTTGCTTGAAATAATAGCCTGATGTAAATTATAGTGAAAGTGTTATGAAAAATATGAAAGGAAGAAAACAGTTCAAATAAGTTAAAACAAGTTATGGTTTCCGTTTTATTAGAGTTTTGTCTCATTATTCACATGAAAGATAAAAGACAACATCGGGACTGCCAGGGATAATGACTCATAACCTTAAAGAAATAATATGTATTCTTAACTGAGTAGGCTGAGATTTAGCAAACGCAAAACACAAATGCGCATGACCAGGAGTTGTTAAACAGATACTTTATAGCCAAATTAGTATAGTGATGATCCTAATGAAGGGTATATTTGGCATGTGCCGTTGTATGTTTTGTTAGAAAAAAAAGTTTTATGTACAATAGCATCACTGTCGTTCATACAACTATTCTAATCAGCGAAACTCTGGTTGCTTCCGGAAATTCACACCTACGTTCAAATACAGACATAATAATTTTTAGTCCAATGCCATGTTAGATAGAATGAAAAGTAGTCGTAACAGAAATAAATACGTCAATTTTGTTCATGATAATTGTCATGTTACTCCGGCACAGAGTAGGATTACCACATGTGCTGAGTTCACTCGTTTCACTGTAGGTGCTAACCAGGGGTTTCGAGTTATTCTCCGTCCCTATTCTTATTACGATTATTACGCAATCAGTTAAGGAAAGTTTATTTAACCTTGATTTAGTAAAATGTTGGACAGAATCTCTTGCAACTAATATGCATACCATTCTATGTATCTTTAACAGGAATGTTATCGTGATTCTCTATCTATAGTTTGTTATATCCTAAAATCCAGAGAGTAAAACGTAGCATCATGCTCATGTTCCATTTCACTCAACTTAAGTATATATTACTGTTCAGATTCCTAGGAGACAACTGTTTTCACATATCTTCGTTCGGTTGAAGTATGGTACCATTAACATCCGATTTATGCAAAACAAATATTTATGTGATGCTTCGTGTCACGAGAGCTTGTATTGTAAAACGATGTTATCATACCAAGAAACGTAGTCATTATAGAACACTGACTTGAATAACTTAGGCGTAACTCATATGCTCTAATTCCTCGGGCGTTAATTGAACCATTATTCATGAAATTTTGCAATAAACTCCGGGTAATCTGGTAACTACACATAACCGTAATTGATAGAATGCTACTCACGTTAAGTACTTGTTGATACGTCCTGACTACCCACGTGACGATCAGACGAAGTAGCTATTAGGGCTCACAACCGTTGAGAATAATGTACCTGACATAAAATATTTGCATTTTCGATATCATTTACTACAAAACTATCATACACAGTTACAATTTTTTAAGTACATGACTAGTATTGATTTTAAATTTTTGTTACAACTTCTATTATTCTTCACCTCTCCTATCTATTTAGATTACTGTTTCGTTATGATACTACTGTACATGTAATTCCTATTTTTGGAGCAAAGAAAAATAAATATTTGAAAAGTATCCACGGCAATTTCACAAGTTACTATATGAACATACCGATTACATATTCTAGTATCAGATTCCAACCAATTGTAAACGCCATTATTTCTCCAACAGTAATGTAGCTATATACATAAGCTGATCCACTTTGTGGCACACGGGCTCCAAACTCGGCATAACATAATCCTTAGCAAGAGGGGAAGAATATTCGATTAATTTTTCGTCAAACTTAAGCTACTTTACTCAGGAAAGTTGAAAACTTTGACGCATAAAAGGATCTTTCCTCCTTAAAATTTTGTTTGAATGTTACTTCAACAACGTATATTCTGCCTGAAACGGTATTTTTAGGAATCTGTTTAGCTTCCATTTTAGTAGTAAAAAAATCTAAATGAATTTTTCAATATAAACATTTATGTCCATTATCCTGTTTATATAATAACACAATACTTCATATGATAAACATATGACGTAAATTGGATTTTCAGAGAATTAAAAAAGAGTGAAAATGTTATATGATGCGGCACAAACCTTGCGTGAAATGCTTAGTAAGTAATTAATCAGACACTGCATTTCACGATTCCACTGGTATTTTGATGATTGTGGAGCACAGTCTGATTACTAAGTTTTGTGTACTGCACTCTGCGTCGTCTTATATTGTACATTTTCTACCAGTCAACAGTGATATTATACACACCAGATGGCTGACGAGAATGTCGGAGTCAGTGGTCCTGTTTTTAGTAACCCCGCCTTGCGGGGTTCTGTTTTTGACTATTACGCTGGCAAACTGGTGTTTGAAATTTAGCCGGAGTTCAAGTTTTTTTTTAATCTCGACGCTAAAGAATTTACATTGATAATCAACTGAACCTCATCAACTCTGTTTACATGCTTTTTTATTTATGCTACCAAACTACACAAACATTTGAAAACTAGGTGTCCTCAACGATTATATCATGATGATACAAATACCTTAAAAATTAAGGTTTATCGGCAGCACGACTGATTGATAGTTTGTGGATTGTATTTTTATAATAATGATGGTTTCGCATGAGTCAACTATGTCATATTTTTACTTTATTTGTTTAATACACCTAAATGTTTCGCAAGGACAGAGGAAGGTTGCTCTCACGCCTGAGTTGAAAGCCCTACATTTAAAGACGGACTAATTTTACAACGGCGGCAAAGACAGACAGGATGTACATAAAGCTATCTGGTCTTCACTGTATATGGATCACTTTTAAAGGACACGCCACCACTAGCACCCACAAAATCTTTTGTTTGCATAATCTTTCCTACTACTTCTAGCGAGTTACCACAAAGAGCACCGGCACAGGAATCTTCCATCTTTCAAAAGTACTTCGCATTTAAAGGGTGAAAAGTACATATTATAACGACGGACAATAGTTGTCAACAGGTTAAGCGCGGACTATTCAGCCTGAGTACCGTGGCACAGTAAGACAGTCGACCACAAATGTTTTCAATCCTCTTGCAAAATGCAAACATTTTTCATTTAGCGATCTCCCCTTATCATCAAACCCATCGAGTTAAACGATTTTGTTCGACATAAAAACAACGGCAAGCGTTTTCCACTTTGCTAGTCCAGATTGTGAACTATACAAATCCTTATCGTTGGTGCTAGTTCTCTACACTTGCAAACTTTTGTACATCTGCCGAATCAATTTTCCATATTTTTAGATTTTTGCTTGAAAGTTTGATTATACGAAAGCCAGTTTCTATTTATTTAGAAATCGTGAGACGGTATACACGCTTTAAGCAACTCAACTTAACTGAGTTTATGAAGGTTACCTGAGTTGTCGGTCTACTACGGTTTTGAGTATGATTCGCAAGATTAAGGTGTAGTTTTATCAGATCCAAATAACAATCGTGAAAAGATGATAATCTATGTTCATTTTGATGGCGTTTCATAGTATCTAGGTACTGAATACAAGCTAAAGTATTCACTGACGAGGAAAAAATTGAAATCCAACACCTTGGCACTTATTATTCTGATACAGCTACAAAGTTTTACTGGCAAAATTTTGGCAAGTTCAATACAGATGTAAAAGCAGGACAAACATGCTTACAGATTTCATCGAAACTCACTATTAAATGTTATTCAAATTTGATTCATACAAAGAACGTTCACATTAGTAGGCGTTTACACAAAGATTATTAATTATATAGAAGTCTCAAACAACAGTCAGAGAAGATATTCAGTGGATTTATTTCAAAGAGAACCTCTGACCAGCACTTTTGCCAACAGTGTTTATTTTCATTTCTAGACAAGACAGTTCTAAAGTTGGCTTTCTTTCTACATACAATCGTTCGCTTTGAAATACTTGTAAATTCATGTTATCACTAACAGTCTGCTTACCTAATGAAAATAATAACTTGTGTTTATCTAGACAACAACCACTTTACTATATTTTAAGATATGCTGTAGGCGATTACCAGGTGGTTTTCAAATCTCAAGAAAGTTGTTAAGTTTTCGGCAGTCATACCGTGAACAGTGGGCATCACATTTAGTATTTTAACTAACTTTTCATGGTTTGGTCACACCCAATATGCTTTTCAAAACTGGTTTTACAAAATATAACTGATTCTTGTCGGAAATGTTTGTTTATAACGAACGATATAAAGGACAATTTAAACTGTACTTCTCGTGAAACTTGGTTATATTTAATATCTCAAAAGGTTGATCTAAAGTAACTCTTTTCCATCAAGTGATGATATTGAATGACAAAAAGGTAAACATGTTGCTATTAATAGAGCTGTTGCCCTCTCCTGTATTATATTTGATACCGCAGAAAGAACACTGTGAAGTAGTTAGTGTTATGACGATCCACCAGTTACATGCAACATGATATAAAGTACTTTGTTCCTATGAGCTTACTGTGAAATAAACCGATTTAAGGCAAATACCGAGATTATGCCCGATATTTGCCAATATTACAAGTAAACTGAACACGCACAAAGAAAAAAGGAGTTTATCCTTTGATAAGATACAAAATATCTGTTAGGTAAATGCCCATATTATTTGGGAATCTACTTATAAAATGTTGCCATACTTAGCACATGCTTTAGAAATTAACACAGCTTTGTGAACAATTGAAAACGCAACGTAAGAAATGTGATAAGTATGCAATTTTCGATAGTCTATTTTTATACAGAAATCTTGGGCGTATAATGTTTGACACTACCGATGACATAATAGTTGATATAAGTTGAAGACATTAAGAATGTAAGTATTAGTTAGAAGTTTGTTATCATATACAAAGTAACAACCGTGCTTTAATCACACTTGAAGAGCGAGAAGTACAGAAAGCATCATGTGCAGAACAAAAGCCTAAAAAATTTGGTTTAAACTTGAAACAAGTGTACTAAGTAATATTACTAAGCTGACCAAGTCATATCAGCTTGTAATATAGTTCTGCCGAATTCTTATAGTTCTCACCAGTATAAAGTAAAACGTCATGAAACCGTGTGGGTACAACGTGTGTTTTCTATGAAATCTAAGCATGTTTACAAGCCTCGCTTTTATATCATCATCTTACTACCAGCTCTTAAATAAAGCGGATAGCATATCCCCACACGCTGTTTGTCATTTCGATGACTTACTTTAAGTGAAGAAGATCTCAGCGGTTTCGCACACAACAACAGTGCTAATAAAAAATTCAAATTAGTGATTGTACGGTAAATAGGGCAGACTTGAATACCATAATCTTTTGCAGTAATTCCTTAAGATTAGGCATATTTTAGCTGGCAGGTTACCTTATCGGTTAGTTTCAAAAGATGACCATAACCCTATTTAAAACGTCCTCATTCCAGTTATACATTATTAAATCAATATGACTATAGTCTAGTAAATGCTGAATTATTGTTTTGTTAGTTAGGTAACAGGAACACATAATCACTACCGACAAATGTCAAACTTTTCGTTCACCAATCTATGTGAAGTCAAAGTTTTAACAATATAGTTTTATTTGACAAAGCCATCATAGGTTTAACTACAATACTACAGTAAAAGCTGTCTGTGAGTAATGATAACCGATGTTTCGTTTGCGTTCACAACAAATCCTGTATTGTACTGTTGGTTAAACATCAGATGAGCAGCAAATAACTACTTAAACTTATAAACTTATTATGAAATTAATTTAGAAAGACCAATTTCTCTTACCTGATATACGACAAATGCTTTAAGCAACTGCTTATGAAGGTTTAAATCCTAAAAAATATAAAACATCTAGAACTTTCGGCAGATAGTGATATTACGACTTATAAAGTATATGTATTACTCAGTGAACACCAGATTTTCCGTTTCAAAGATACTATATAATATAGACAGTGAAAATGTCATTTCACATAATCCAAAGTGTCACTGACAATTCTTTGATTAAGATACTTAAAAAGATACAGACTTGAGTAGGGTTGATTTATGACAAACCTCCGAATTCTGGAGAAAGTAATTATTGGTTTCGGCAGCTTACATGCTCAGTTCATTGAATAATGCTCGTATTATTTATCCGTGGTGGGCAGACTTTTTTGAAACGATGATATAAAGTTAAGTAAATTCCAACAAATTGCCTTCATAATGACTGAGAAAATAAATAACCTAGAGGTGTTTATTCGAAATTTAAAAATTTAAACCTATCTCAAAATAATTTGCTATGAAGTCTAAAAATCAGGCATGATGCGACACTAAAGGCAAAATTCCATTTGATGATTTTTAAAAGTAAAAGGCAAAAGTTAAACATGAACATTCTGGTGCATATTTTAAAGAACGCGAAAGAATAATTTGATCATAGGTGTTCATAAATTACGGGGGGAAATTACCTGATAGAACAGAAGCCACCGCTGCGATCAAAAAAGATATCATAACACCAGGACCAGCTGTGAACTTGGCAACGTCGCCAACAAGAATATACACTCCAGCACCTAAAGTTGTGCCAACTCCTATGATGAAAGTATGTTTCAGAAATTGTACATAATACCTAAGGCAGTTAGATCAAAGATAGTTAGGCATCTTCGTAATTCGACCTTTGGAGACTCCCTTTTGCCAATCACCTTTTTTCTATTTAGGCTTATAAAAAAGTATTTTGTTGTTCGAGCACATGAACTCATTACAGCAAATTAAAAATGCGCCGTATCCGTAGCCTAAACTAACCGTGAGGAAGATTTATTTCAATGCTCAATTTAATCGAAAAGATTCAAGAAACTAATAACCATTTTCTTCAATAAGGGAAGTCCAGGTGATGTCTTGTTTAATTAAACAAGGTACAAACTGATGACTAAGACCTCAAAACAGGGAGGAACAAGGAATGTAAACTGTCTTTTAATGAATACTTCTAATTCCAGACGTATAGTGTTCTTCAGCCTTCCTATTTTTCCTTTCGCTTCAGGATTCCAGGTAGACGATTGCAGTTTGGTGATCTCCGCAATGTATATCCTATTCATTTCCAATATCAGATGTAAGCTGATTTATTCTCTCCCAAGGTAAGTTGTTGCTGGTGGTTTCCGGCCAAAGGATATTGAATATCATGCGCAGTTCTCCAAATTTCAGCTCAATAAAGTAGAAGAGTTTCACTTTGATACTGGTTGACAGTTGTTTCGAGTTTCATATACTGTTCAAGAGTAGGAATGCGGCTCTTTACTTTGCCAATTCTCGTCTCTACGTTTGGATCCGATCATCCTTGTTCATCGATGATTTTTCCCAGGCACATGAAAAATTCCAACTCTTCCAGAGTTTCGCCATCAAGTGTGATTGGGTTGGTGTTCCTCACGTTTTATTTCAGGATCTTACTTTTCCCTTGTGTATGTTGAGGCCTACTGATGCAGAGGCTGTTTCTACACTAGTTGTCTTCATCTGTATTTTTCTGTATGTATAGAATAGTAGGGTAAGGTAATCCTCGGTCACTGAAACCATACTGTCCAATTTCACGAAACTCATACATTTATGTAGCTATTTTCAAAATACGAATTTGAAAAATGATTCAGTTTATCTCTCTCCGGATCTTTTTCTCATGTACAGTTTTTGATACTTTTTGCGGGCAGTTGTTCGTCTCTTATCAGTTTTATTTATGATTTCCTTTGAATATATTGTCAAAGTCTTGTGATAAAGAGTCTGGTAATAGACATAACCAAATTCTTAAATATAGATAAAGCCGATAACGTTCAGTTAGTTTGCTCCGAATCTTTATTTATAGATCTTCTTAGTATTGCTGATGCTGTAACAGCTCAGGTTGGTTGGTTAAGAGTTGACCCCAAACAACCAAGCTTATGCCAAAACAGTATTGTTCAAGTATTCATTCACTTCCTTATTTTTCATAAGCGTTATATTCCCTATTATCTAATATTGAATGTTGAGAGCCTTTGTTTGTCTGAACAGATAATCCCACGCTCCACTGTGACTGCGCTAAGATCGAAATAAAGACCTATTCACTACTTGTCTGGTTTCTTCTATCAATAGCACGAGGGTTACTTAAGGCACGAAACTGGTGAGCCCTTTTTGAACACAAATTTAACCTCATTTCTGTTATTAACATTTTTTTTACTTAATCGTAAAAGTAGACCTGATTATCCGTAAACTAATTTGAGTATATAACTAGTTTATTCCGTATTATCTTAAGTTATTCGTGTTATAGTAACCACTTTTTGTGCTAACTTTATTGCTATATTTGTCACATACCTCATGTCAGACTCAATAGAAACCCATAATCTGGAGGATTTGTCACCAGTGGAGATAGACACTGTTATGACTACGAAATCCCGACTTCCAGAATTTGATCGTAGTGATCCTGAGTTGTGGTTTGCTCAACTAGAGCATTATTTCACGAGACACAATATCAAATCTGAAGGGATTCGCTATAGAGACTTGTGTTCTATCCTTCCTCCTTCAGTCGCCAAAGAAGTCCGTGACTTGATTTTAGATCCACCATCACCACAACCATACACCATCTTAAGACGAGAGATAATGAACCGTTTATCATTATCAGATAGTCAAAGAATCCAAAGACTTTTTCAAGGTGAAACACTAGGTGATCGGTCGCCGTCACAGTTTTTACGTCACCTCCAAGTCTTAGTGGGTGATAACACAGTGGGTGAAGCAGTCCTAAAACAAGGATGGATACAAGCTCTCCCATGCTACGTCCAACACTGTTTGGATGCACAAGATCCTGAAACCTCATTATCTCATTTAGCGCGTATAGCCGACAGAATAATGGAAAGAGGTCCTCCAACTGGATCAGGCACAATAAATCACACACAAAAAGTAGAATCAGCAAAAGACCCCGTAATAGAAGGACTCATTGCGAGTGTTAAGAGTCTCACTGAGGCTGTCACCAGAATGCAAATGGGTCATAGAAACAGGAGCAGGTCACCACAACGACCACGATCCAAGTCACAAAACAGGTCACAAATGTCCAGACAATCTGGGCAGTTTTGTTGGTACCACTGGAAGTTTGGTGTCAACTCAACCAAGTGCATGCAACCATGCGCCTGGCCTAAGCATAATTCTAAGACAGCGGGAAACGAGTAACCCCTCCCCAGGTCGCGACGACTGAGGAGGGGCGCCTAAACAGTCGCTTGTTTTATGTTAGAGACAGAAACTCTGGCTTGAATTTCTTGGTGGATACTGGCGCTGCTCTTAGCATCATCCCTCAAAATAAAACTGAGATTAGTCGAGAAACATCATCAATTACACTTCAAGCTGCAAATAAAACTAAAATTGCGACATTTGGGCAGAAAACTTTAACCCTAGATTTGGGGTTCAGGAGGCAATTCCCTTGGGTTTTCACGGTAGCCGACTTAGATCTGGCAATACTGGGGATGGACTTTCTAGAGAGATACGAATTTCTAGTTGACACCAAGAAACGGCGATTAACACTAAAAGAAACTTCGTATTACACAAAAGGCAAAGAAAGTCACATCAGCTCTCTTAACTTGATTCAAACTCCCCAGTAACAACAGCGAAATTCCAAGATATACTCGCGGAATTTCCAAACTTAACTAAACCAAACCCACAGCCTTCTAAAGACAAACTAAAAGTGAGTCACACTATCAAAACCGAAGGTGCACCGGTGTTTGCAAAACCCAGGAGACTAGCACCAGATAAGCTCAAAATCGCTAGGGCCGAGTTTGATTATATGCTACAATTGGGTATTATCCGTCCCTCTGATAGTCAATGGGCATCCCCTTTGCATATGGTCCCAAAGAAGAATGAAGGTGACTGGCGACCGTGCGGGGATTACAGAGCCCTAAACCGTCAAACCGTACCAGATAGGTACCCAATACCTCATATCCAAGATTTCACCAACGGTTTACAGGGTATGAACATATTCACTAAAATTGACTTAGTCAGGGCATATCACAATATCCCGGTGGCTGATGAAGATATTCCCAAGACAGCTATTACTACACCCTTTGGCTTATTCGAGTTTGTACGCATGCCATTCGGCCTGAGAAATGCGGCACAGACATTTCAAAGATTCATAGATAACCTACTTCGAGATATGCCATTTGCGCAGGGGTATATAGACGACTTGTTAATTGCCAGCCCCGATTTGCAATCACACGAACAGCATGTACAAGCAGTGTTGAAAAGACTGGATGAACATGGAATAAACATACATCAAAGTAAGTGTGTTTTCGGTGTTCAAACTTTAGAATTTCTCGGTCACACAATAAGCCCAGAAGGGATTAAACCTATCAAAAAAGAAGTGGATACCATCAAACAATACCCCGTACCTAGTTCTCTAACACAACTGAGAAGTTTTCTAGGCCTAATTAACTTTTATCGCAGATTCATACCAGGTTGTGCACAATTAATGCAACCTTTGACAGATTCACTTAAAGGAAAACCAAAAGAATTCAAACTGTCTTCTGACGCCATCGAAGCTATTAAACAGCTTAAAGATAAACTGGCTCAAGCAACTACGTTGATATATCCGAATTCTCTTTCCCCACTTGCTTTGATGGTGGATGCTTCAGATAAAGCAGTAGGCGGTACCCTTAACCAACTGGTTAAAAACGCCTGGAAACCAATTGCTTTCTTCTCGAAAAGACTCGCTCCAGCCGAAACAAGGTATTCTACCTTCGGGCGAGAACTTCTTGCAATCTACCTGACCATTAAACACTTCCGACACATGTTAGAAGGTAGGGAATTTATAGTCTTTACGGATCACAAACCACTGACGAATGCATTAAAAGCGAGAGCCGATAAATACTCACCTCGAGAAGTCCGACACCTTGACTATATATCACAGTTCACAAGCGATATCCGACATGTCAAAGGTCAGGACAATCAGGCGGCAGATGCTTTATCCAGACTAGAAATGAACGTGCTACAGCAGTCTACAGTAAACTTCGAGACGTTGAGACACGAACAAGAGCAGGACCTAGAATTACAAAACCTACTTAAAACAAACAATTCAAGTCTTAATTTAAAACAATTCCCATCACCTATCGATGGTATTCTAATTTATTGTGACACGACCAAGGCAATGCCGCGACCTTTCGTTCCCAAAAATATGCGAAAGTTGATATATAATAACTTTCATTCTTTGTCTCATCCTGGCGCGAAAGCTTCAACAAAACTAATCAATGCCAGATATATATGGCCGAATTTACAGAAGGATGTACACAAATGGGTTAGAGAGTGTTCAGCATGTCAACAATCAAAGATTAATCGTCACACAAATTCACCCATAGGTGTTTTCTCGCAACCAGATGCACGTTTTGCCCATGTGCATATCGACTTGGTAGGTCCTTTACCACGTTCAAACGGTTTTAATTATCTTTTTACATGCATAGATCGATTTACCAGATTCCCTATAGCCATCCCGATAGCGGACATCACAGCGGAAACAGTAGCCAAAGTTTTCATGCAGAACTGGGTAACCATTTTTGGTACACCCATAACAATAACGACGGATAGAGGAGCGCAATTCGAATCCGAACTATTTAATAACTTGGCTAAACTTCTAGGCTCCAATAGGATACGCTGCACTGCATATCATCCTCAGGCTAATGGGATGGTAGAACGTTTTCACCGTCAGCTAAAAACCGCCCTTATATCTCACTCAAACCCCAATCAGTGGACAGAATTCCTACCATTAGTTATGTTGGGAATACGAACATCTGTCAAAA